GCGTAAAGAGGTTAAGAATGAAATGTCCTTACAGTAATGAAAGCAGTTCATTAAACAATACTTCAATCTTTCAGTCAGAACAGTTATTCAGTCATATGTAGTACATCCATTAGCATAGCAGTAAACAGTAGGTCTTAAAGACCGAGCAGTAATGATGGCCATCAATCAGTAAACAGTAGTGGTTCCACGAGGGAACCGACAGAGATCTCTGTAACAGTAGCAGTAACAGTATACAACAGTTGTTAAGGATGCTACAATACATTTCAGAATATAGGACATACATTCAAACCATTAACAATAATTACTTCAGAAAACAGTTTCGTTAAACAGCCAGAAAACATTCTCAGTTGAACATATCTTTACACAATTGTTACTCACAGAGTTTGGGCTACAGTATGCTAGAGCGTGTCTCCCCAGTCGCCAACCCTACACAGTTCACAAGTTGAACACACACTAAGCTACACAGTTGGGAAATATCATAACTTAATCCCTAATTTGCCTTGGTGTGTTCTACATCTATATCCTCAATAAGATGTCTTAAACTAGGCCTAAGAATGCCTAGAATGGGATGATGATGCAAAGATGCACTTTTAAAAGCATTTTCAGAATTTTCAGAGAACAGAGTCCCGCTCGAGCGTATGTTTCCCCGCTCGAGCGGTCGTGCAACAAATGTACACGCTCGAGCGTCAACTTTCCCGCTCGAGCGTACTGTAAAAGTACTGGATGGGTGAAATCTCCGCTCGACGGACGCTCGACGCCCGCTCGATCGTGAGACACAAGACTCCGCTCGAGCGCCCAATCCTCCGCTCGAGCGGACTGTAAAACAGCGCAGAGAAAATACTGGATGCTCGGATTCCACGCTCGAGCGCCACTTCCACGCTCGAGCGGAAATGCAAAATCTGGAAAACCCAGATTGCACCTCCAAGCTCAAACCAAGTTTCAAAGCACTCAAAACCGATCCTCTTGGGCTAATTTCCAGAAAAACACTTGTAAACACATGGAATAACATGATTCAAAGCTCAATTTTGAGAAATCAAAGCCCAAGGGTGTTTAATTCAAACCCAATTTCCAACCATTCTTCAAGAACAACATTCAAACATGTCATGCATGAGTTTTAAACCAAATTTAAAGCTCCAAAGCTTGTTCAAATGAGCTCATTTCTTTTCAAAACTAGGTGAAAACATGGTCTATAACAACAATATGAGCATGCATGTACTAATGTCCATGTAATCAACCTCAAAATGCAACAACACTAACATGCATGCATGAATTATGCTCTATTTCAACATGCTAGAACTAATTCATGACTCAACTTTCAATTTCGACATAAACCATGCAAGAATCAAGCTCAAATACATCAATAAAGGTTGAATTCTCTTACCTAAGTCTTGTATTTAGGATAGGGAAGCTCAATTGTACAAAACTCCTTCAATTCTTCAAGATCTCAAGTTAAATCAACAAGAACAATTCTCTATCTCTCTAACTCTCTTCTTTGGTCGGTTGAGGCAACACAAAGGCTGATGAAATGTTGTTTTAATCAAATGCATTAAGTGTAATAAAGCTCAAAAGGTTTGAGGTAGTGGGCCACTACAAGGCTAGTTTGGTAAATAAGTCCAACTTGGCCAATTAGCTTATTTTAATCTAATTTAATCATACCAAATCACTTTTTCAATGAATATACCATAAAATTACATAAATTATGTTGATCGTAAAACACCAATCAATTTTGAATTCGGCCACCGATAAGGCCTTCAACTTACAGTCTAAACATATAAGCATGAACAGATAATCATACAGTCAAACAGATAGAATGCAATTTAACTAACATATACTCAATCAATTCGGTTTCCAATTTCAGTCAGCCAGTTCCGTAGTTTATTCAGTTCAATTATCAGTCATAATCAGTCTCGGTTAATAGTAATTAGCAGTTAATCAGTCATTAATCGGTAAACAGTACGAGGGTTGTTACATAATACTTCAATGTAATACACTCCAATGTAACACACAAAAACACTAAAAAAACTTCTTAGTGTACTTTTTTTAAACGTAACACTCATAGTTTGAAATTATACATTTGTTCAAAACTTACTAAGGAATATTTATACTCCTTTTGAAATGGTTTGAAGAATCTTATTCTTTTTATTTGTTTATTTATAATTTTTTTAGTGCTACATTGGAGGGTAATGTTTAGGAAAAGTACACTAAGTATTTTTTTTTTTTTTTGTGTGTTACATTGGAACGCTACGTTTGGGAAAAGTACACCAACGATTTTTTTTTGTGTGTTACGTTAAAGTGTTATACTAAATTTTTTTTTTGAGTGTTATATTGAAGTGTTACGTTTAGAAAAATACATTAAAGAATTTTTTGTGTGTTATATTAGAATGTTACACTAAGGAGTTTTTGTGTGTTACATTAGATTGTTACACTAATGATTTTTTTAGAGTGTTACATTTGAAAAAAGTACATTAAGAAGTTTTTTTATATGTTACATTAGAGTGTTACACTAAGGAGTTTTTGTGTGTATTACATTGAAGTGTTACATTAAGGAGTTTTTTTGTGTGTTATATTAAAGTGTTACGTTTGGAAAAAAATATACTAATGAGTTTTTTTTTGTATGTTATATTAAAGTGTTACGTTTGGAAAAAATATATTAAGGAGTTTTTTTATGTATTACATTAGAGTATTACTTCTTTTGGAATGGTTTGAAGAATCTTATTCTTTTTATTTATTTATTTTTTATTTTGTTTAGTGTTACATTGGAATGTTATGTTTAGGAAAAGTATACTAAATATATATATATATTTTTTGTGTATTACATTGGAGTGCTACGTTTAGGAAAAGTACACCAACAAATTTTTTCTGTGTGTTACGTTAAAATGTTACACTAATTTTTTTTTGAGTGTTATATTGAAGTGTTACGCTTAGAAAAATACATTAAGGAGTTTTTTGTGTTATATTAGAATGTTACACTAAGGAGTTTTTGTGTGTTACATTAGAGTGTTACAGTAATGATTTTTTTAGAGTATTATATTTGAAAAAAGTACATTAAGAAGTTTTTTTATATGTTACATTAGAGTATTACACTAAGGAGTTTTTGTGTGTGTTACATTAGAGTGCTGCATTAAAGAGTTTTTTTTTGTTATATTAAAGTGTTACGTTTGGAAAAAAATATACTAATGAGTTTTTTTGTATATTATATTAAAGTGTTACGTTTGGAAAAAATATACTAAGTAGTTTTTTTATGTATTACATTAGAGTATTACAATAAGTATTTTTTTTGTGTTACTTTAGAGTGTTACACTAAGGAGTTTTTTAGAGTGTTACATTTGAGAAAAGTACAGTAAATTTTTTTTTTTTATATGTTACATTAGTGTTACGTTTGAATGTTAATTAATATCAATATTACAATAGGGACGAACACCATAAAAAAGGAACGAAAATCACACCAATAACACTGCAAACAGGATAACATCATCCATCTACAAATCATTTCACTAAATCCCCGCAAAATAAAATAAAAAAGAAACGTAAAAACTTTGGGTTCTCTCTCTCTCTCTCTCTCTCTCTCTCTATACATTTGTTATGATTGTTTTAATATGATACAAGGGGGGTGTCAAGTAATATTTTTTTTAAATTTTTATGTCCTATATTTGATTTATTGAAAGTTTACTGACTGTGATGAGAGGCATTGGAAAAGGATTGGTTGTGAAATGAAAGAGTTTTTGGCTAAAATTAAAGAAATTGACTTGAATTTAAGTGAAAGAAAAAAATAAAAATAAATTGGGTTGTCATTTTCACCAAACAAAAGTCTAATTTTGGCCCCTCCCAAAAAAAAAAAAAAAAAAAAAGAGAGTATTACAGTCAATGACTTAAAAAAGTATTACAATTACTACATGCCTCATCTAAAGAAAGAAAATTTGAAATTTTAGAATATCACAATCACTGAATGCCTCATCCACATATTACAATCACAGCATGCCTCATCCACATAAAGTATTACCATCTGTTGTTCTTAAAATATAAAAACAATTCAAACCACCAAAACCATGAATAGAGCAATAGTAGAGATTGTATGTCTCTGTATTGTTACATTTATATATGTTTTTGAAAACAAAAACTAACCACCATATATCATATTTTCTATTTATTACTTTTAGAGTTAGATTTAAAAATCAAAAAATATAGATAAATAATACGTTTATTTTTTTCAATTCAAAAATTATATTCAAGTTAAAAACTTTTTTTCAACAGAATATTTGAACTATTTTTCAATTAAAAACACAAACAAAATATTTAAACAAATTGAAAATACAAAGTCTTATAAATTACTAAGGGTGCTCGCGGTTTGGCGGTTCAGTTGTGGCCAAAGGAACCTCAAATCCGTCATCCGTCCGCCAAATTGGCGGATTGGAGAAAATCAATCTACAACCGTCCGCTCGTCATCACGCATCCGTCCAAAATGCGGCGGATCGGTTTGGTTTGGTCGATTTTGGTGAATCGGTATATCCGCTGCTCACTCCTATTCAAACCCCAAATTAAGGAAATACAACATATCTAAAATAAAAGGGACTAATTGATTTGAAAGAAAACTTTTAAGATTAAATTGAATAACTTTTCTCAAAATAAGATTTATGAGTAATTTTTTTTTTTTTTAATTCCCTCGTTCAATTGTAATTTATTTTGGTTCTTTCATTTACTTGCTATTTTTCTTAAGGTTGTTTGGAATGTTCTAAATAAGTGTATTTTTTACTTTTTATAAAAAGATGTGTAAAAAAATAGAGAATAGATGTTAATTGATGTAATCTAAAAAAAATAAAAAGATAAAAAATATAGACTTATTTAATCTTCCCAAACAAGACCTTAATTTTTTAGACTGAAATAATTTTTAATTTTAAAATCTTTTTGAAACTCAAGCAAAAGGCACGTTGGTGAGTTGGCGATGCCATGTGTCTTCGAATCCAATCGTAAACCAGGGGGCAAGTTAACCTTGCACCGGAGAGAGAGGGGGAGAGAGAGAGACCCACCTAGCCTTCTGTATTCTACCCATATACATCAGTTTATTCTATACTATTCTATTCTTCGAATCCAATTCGTCATCAGTCTTTTTGCTCTCAGACATTTCGTCGAACACCTCTACAGAGAGAGAGAGAGAGAGAGAACTCAGCAATGTCTCTGCGACCCAATTCTCGCACAGAGGTCCGCAAGAAGTCCTACAAAACTGGCGTCGATGGCGACGAAGCTCGGCGTCGGAGAGAGGACAATCTGGTGGAGATCAGGAAGAACAAGCGCGAGGACAATCTCTTGAAGAAGCGAAGAGAAGGTCTTCTTCTTCAGTCTCAGCAACTCTCAGATGCTTCGCAAACCCCCGCCGCCATCGAGAAGAGGGTAATTCTTGTCATCCCTATTTTGCGCGATCTGGGATTGATGGGTTTCCTTCCCTTTTCTGTTGAATTGTGTTTGGTTGCTGAGAAAATGTGGGAAATTGGAAAGATTTGTGCTTTTGGATTTTTGAGTTTTTCTGTAGTTGGTAATTGAGATATTTGAAAATTCTAGTCAATTGAGCCCAATTCAGATGATCTTACTCTTCTTGCCCTTCTAAATTTGTTTTCAGACAAATTGTAGGATAGGGATACAGATCAATGAGTGGAGCCTTGTATTTTTATTACATTCCATTTGGGAAACTAGTTTAGTTGAATTTTACTTTTGTAGATGCCAAATTGTTAGGAAATTAAATTCTAAAGAAACTCAGTTAAAGGTTTCATTTCCAGTCTCATTGACTTTCAGATGCTTCATAATTCCCTATAGCTATTAAAGATTGTGGCCATTTTGCCCTCACTGAAATACTAGAATTTGATCTCTGTTCTGATCTTCAATTGCTGTCTATGCATGGACCTTTATTGGGGTTGGATTGGTTGCTGTTTGAATTATAGGTAAAAAGATCAAGCTTGATGTTGGAAATTTTGGGTTGTGGTTAAGCCGTCAACCTGGGGTTAGTTGGGTTGATTTCCTTGTCTCTTCAGAAACCAAATTTGATAATAATAATAATAAAAAAAAAGAACTTTTTAGTTTTCTGTTCCTTTGTTCTGTTTTATTGGTAACCAACCATGTGGTTTATTACTTTGGTAGCTGCTGAATCTACTGGTACATCTTGCTTCTGGTTTATTTTATAGTTTTATAAATTTTTATGTGATGATGCTTGATGATTTATGAGTGCTACAGTCCTTTTGACTGTCAGTGGTAGAAAACTGTGCATCTTAGAACTTAGAACGTCAAAGTTTGTGTTCTTCATTCATTCCTTTTAAATTTATTCCATTTGGATGCCTTAAAAATTGAGGAAAAGACACGATTATGAAGTATTCATTATTATTATTATTATTATTTTAAATCCAAGATTGGTAAACTTCATTTGAACTTGGTTAAAAGCTAAATTAGACTTCGTTGAAGGGAGTTTTGTTGTTATCGAAATTTTACTTTACTCTAATCTATGAAGCATAGACGCGTGATTTTGCCTCACGTATCAGTGCGATTCACAGCCTCTTGTGCACAACCCATATTCATGCAAGGATTCTGACACATTAGACATGCTTGGGAACATATCCCTATTTTAAATGTTTTTTTTTGACAAAGATGGTAGTGACATGCTTGTTGGAAAACTAGACATGATCGAGACAAGGAGGGGCTAAAGTCCAATTTTAGAATGTAAGGGGTTAATGTATGAGTATTTTCCAATATGATATGTGTAACAGATGAATTAAGGGAGTTCTAAGTGTGCAAGTTTACAAACTTGCAATATGAGTATTTTCCAATATGATATGTGTAACAGATGAATTAAGGGAGTTCTAAGTGTGTAATTCAAGCAGAGGTGGTTATGTCCTTGTTAGTAACGAGACACATGGAGGAGAATATTTTTGGCTGAAAGAAGGGTTTTTAAAGGCTAATTCCAGAGGGGAACTGCCAAACTCCTTGAAGGGCATTTCAGAGTTTGTCTCTATTTGTTTTCCAAGTGTTGCTTTATTTGTGGATTCGATTGATAGGATGCCTTATCATACATACTTTTTCACTTCTTCTTACAATTAGTTATCGTATCAATGCCTTATCCTATATAAAAATATATATATTTTTTATCGTATCTTTGCCGTGTCCATGACTGTGCCTGTGCTAGTGTCAAGAATTTGTACTAAGAATACGTCAGTAGAAGATACATGGAGCATTGAATAATGTACCAAGTATTTTGCCTATCCGCTTGAATCCTTGATGATTTATATTTTTTTTCATCTTTTTGCTTGATGTAAATTTTTTGAAAACAAGACCAGCAGTGGCTTCTGTAGTGAAGATTTTCTTTACAAAAGAAGCCTGGTGACTGCAGTCAATAGGTTAAAGTTGTGACCATTGTAATCAGTAGAAGATACATGAAGCATTGAATAATGTACCGAGTATTTTACCTATCCGCTTGAATCCTTGACGATTTTTATTTTTTTTCATCTTTCTGCTTGATGTAAAAATTTTGAAAACAAAACCAGCAGTGGCTTCTGTAGTGAAGATTTTCTTTACAAAAGAAGCCTGGTGACTGCAGTGCAGTCAATAGGTTAAATTTGTAACCATTGTAAATAAAAATCGCCCATGACAAGCCTGAAGTTAATGGGGAGCCTGAAGTGCTTTTTGGAATGTTCTGGATTTAGTTATGCCACCCATATGTCATAAAATGCAGTTCCTAATAGAGTTTGATTGAGCCTTTCTTATCCGATTTCATTTTTACCCTTATTTTTGAGGGTAGCAATGGAATATATAATTGAAGTGCAACATGAATAGATTTGGGTCAACTTATTAGGTGTGAGTGTGAACAACCAATTTCAATGTTTTACTCCAAAAGGCAATTCAGATTTATTCAAATACTTTTCCACTTGGTGCTTTTTGGTTTAACAATTCTATTTTGATTTTGATTTTGATTTTTGTTCTTTCTGATGTGTAACAGTTGGAAAGTATTCCTTTGATGGTGCAAGGTGTATGGTCTGAAGATCCTGCAGCACAAATAGAAGCAACTACTCAGTTCAGAAAGCTATTATCAATTGGTATGGGTGGAGTCGTGGTGTTGATAATATTTTTAGGAATACCTCAATGAACCTGTTTTTAGTGTTGACTTTTGGTTTGTGATGCGTGTAGAACGTAGCCCTCCAATAGATGAAGTGATCAAAGCAGGTGTAGTCCCTCGGTTTGTGGAGTTTCTTGGAAGGCAAGATCTGCCTCAACTGCAAGTAGGGACTATTTTTACCTTTATTTATTTTTCGCTGAACTGGCTCTATTTCTGATTGATGTAATCAATCTAGCACAAGCTTGATTTTGTCTTTGTTCGCAGTTTGAGGCAGCATGGGCTTTGACCAATGTTGCATCTGGGACATCAGAGCATACTCGAGTTGTCATTGAACATGGTGCTGTCCCCAAGTTCGTGCTACTTTTGAGCTCTGCCAGTGATGATGTCCGTGAGCAGGTAAACTCTTGCCCCATTTTGCTTTGAAGCTCTTGTTATTCTAGGTTCATGTGTGACAAACTTTTCTAAACTTTTTGGAAGTCTTGTTAAAATTCGTACAAAGTGTTTGGCTTGACTTTGTTAACCATGCTTCTAAAGTGATTTGCTGATTAAAACTTCTGGATTCTTTATTTTTAAATGTTTGGAAACTTTTAAATTTATTGCCAACTTCTCTTAATATAGCAATGTGTGCTCAGCCCCTTTTCTCACCTAACTTCTCTTAATTCTTGCAACGGTATCATTCCATTATGCTTCATTGTTTTGTTTTTCTTCTATTTTCCCAATGTCTTACCGAATTTTAATGTTATCCCTTGCCTCCAGAATTTTCATAATCTTTGTTGTTCTAAATTCTGAGTAATGCATCTAACTGTTTGTTGACACGATAATTATTTTTGGTTGTGACTAGTAATGAATTTGCATTTCTTAATTTTTATAATGTATAAGCAGGCGGTATGGGCTTTGGGTAATGTTGCTGGTGACTCTCCAAGTTGTAGGGATCTTGTTCTTGGTAATGGTGCACTTATGCCTTTGCTAGCTCAGTTGAATGAACACTCAAAACTTTCTATGCTGAGAAATGCTACATGGACTCTGTCCAACTTCTGTCGGGGCAAGCCTCCAACACCATTTGAGCAGGTTGTGAGACATCTCAAAGTATTGTTTTATTTTTAACAATAATCTTGCAGAAGGATTGTTATAGATTTTTAATGATAATTAATTAGGGCGCCAAATGATTTGAATTGTTCATAAAATGCTCGGGATAAGAATTTTTGATTGAGCTCATTCAAACTCGTTTATTCATTAAATGAACCAAGGTTGAGGTTGAACTTGAAGCTTATTTCATAAATGAACCAAGCCCGAGCAGACCCATGCTCAGTTTTTTAATGTTTGAGAGCATAGGCATTGTTTCACTGTTTGGTAGTTCTTTAAAAACTATGTGCCTATATGGTAACTTGAAGTTTGACTGTTGAAGGTAAATATGGTATGTATGATGCAAAAGATAAAAAGAGGACCCTGCATGTAGTCAGTTGTCCAGTCATCTTTTCAAAATCTATGCAGGTTCATCCTTGGCATTTGAAAGATTTACTTAGAATATGATACAAATACAAGAGGTGGTCCCGCATATCATGCACTTAACCAGCTCGAGCTCTTCCAAAGTCTCTGCAATTTTGGTCCATTATTTTAATTTGACTAACGAAATGGCCTTTGATAGGGCCGTGTAGAGAAGAAGGATTCATGTAGCCAACCCCATTTGATGGGATTTAAGGTTTGGTTTGGTTTGGTTTGGTTTGGTATTTTAAAAAAAGGAAAAAAAAGAAAAAAAAAACTTGCAACAATTAAAATGTAACACGTCGCTTACGGTGCGTCTTGTTGTGCTTTGAGGTGGTGTCGGGTTTGCAGATTAATTTGAGTAAGTTAGAGTTGATTCTAGTGGGGGAGGTTGGTAGGTTGCTGGTGTTAGCGGTGGTTTTGGGTTGTAAGGTGTCGGCACTGCTAGTGTCTTATTTGGGGTTACCATTGGGTGCTACTTACAAGGCAAAAGGAGTGTGGGAAGGGGCTGTGGAACAGGTGCAGCGCCAGTTGGCGGGATGGAAGAAGGAATATTTGTCGAAGGGAGGAAGATTGACGTTGATCAAGAGTGTGTTGAGTAGTATTCTGACCTACTTTATGTCATTGTATGTCATTCCTGTTTCAGTGGCGACTCACTTAGGGAAGCTTCAGCGGGATTTCTTGTTGGGGGGTGGAGGGGAGGAGTTTAGATATCATTTGGTTGATTGAGGGCAGATTTGTTGTCCAAAGGAGGTGGGTGGTTTGGGGGTGCGAAGGTTGGTGCCGTTTAATATGGCGTTAGTAGGGAAGTGGTTTAGGCAGTTTGCTAGGGAGAGGGATTGGTTGTGCCGTAGGATGGTTGTTGTATAGGGTGGGAAGGGGAGATTGGTGGTCGGGGGATGTTGTTGGGTCTCATGGTCGGGGTTTGTGGAAGGGGATTTGGTTGGAGAGGGGGGAGTTTTGAGATAGGGTCTAGTTTCGGGTGGGATCAAGGGAGAAGGTGCTTTTTGGAGGGATAGGTGGTGTGGGGATGTTTCGTTGGAGGTGTGGTTCTCTTTAATTTCTAGTATTGCTATGGATCGGGAGGCTACGGTTGTGGATTGTTTGGAGGTGGACAGTGTGGTGGCGTGGGATGTCCAGTTGCGCTATGAGGTTCAGGATTGGGAGGTGGGCCAATTGGAGGAGTTGCTCAGCTTCTTGTATGGATTGGGGATTATAGGTAGGGGGGAAGATGTGGTAGTCTGGGATGTGGCGGGTACCAAAGGCCAGTTTTTTGTTTCGTCATTTTATTAGAGTTTGGAGGGGGAGTTGGTGGAGGTTTTTCCTTGGAAGAGTATATGGGTATCAGGTGCTCCTTCTAAGATGGTTTTCTTTTTTTTGGACAGTTGCATTGGGACGGAATCTTATTATTGATAATTTGGTTTGCCGTGAACATGTATTGGTTAATCGGTGTTGTATGTGTTATGCTGATGTGGAGTCTATGAATCATTTGTATCTTCATTGTTCCGTGACTTCGAGGTTGTGGGGCCTTATTTTTTCTATGTCTGGAGTTGCTTGGGTGTAGCTGAGGGGGGTTTTGGAGTTATTGTGGAGTTGGAGGGGGGTTCGAATAGGGGGTCATCGGTGTTGGGTCTAGTCATTAGTGCCATTTTGTTTGTTGTGTTTGTTTGTTGTGGTTGGTTTGGCTGGAGAGAAATCGGTGCACTTTTCAAGAGTTATTTCGGATTGTGTTGTGGCTTGAAAATTGGTTATTGGTTATTGGTTACTTTGTATAGTTGGTTGGAGAGGAGGGGGGATCCGGATTTGTTTGCTTTTTTAGACTTTTTAGATGATGTTATTGGTTAGGTATTTTTAGTTGTTTTCTAGCTGTTTTTGGTGTTTCTTTTGTATTCTTTCGTATTATCTTGATGCTTTCTCAAAAAAGTCGGATTATTTATCCAAAAAAAAAAAAAAAAAGAAGCAAGAAAAAAAATGTAACACATGTCACTAGAATTAATCTACCAAACTGAGCCGATCTTGGCTCTTTAGTTCATGATATAGTCATGAACCTAGCAGCCCGACGCTAAACACCTCAAAGCTTGGCTTGGCTCATTTGTAACCCTAATGATAACTGGCCTCCTTTCCTGACTGTATTAAGGTGGGCAAATTTAGTGGTTGTTTGGCATGTGCTAAAATAGTACATGCTATTTTAGCACATTATCTTATTTAGGTCACAATCATCTTGTTTAAGTCATATCACCTCCCTACCACGTCACTTCAAACCCAGCCCATATTTCACGTTTTTTCGTGAAAAGTCAAAAGGTATACTAATATAGCACTTCCCAAATAACCCCTTAGTTATGGTTGTTATCTTCTTTTTGACTTTTTCAGGTGAAACCTGCATTGCCAGTTCTTCGGCAACTTATTCACTTGAATGATGAAGAAGTTTTAACTGATGCTTGCTGGGCACTCTCTTATCTTTCTGATGGCCCAAATGACAAAATTCAAGCTGTGATTGAGGCAGGTGTCTGTCCACGACTTGTGGAGCTTCTGCTGTATGTTCCTATTTTCTCTAAAATTTTAAATTATGACATTGATTTAACTTGGATTCCTCTTCTAGTTTTCTAGAATTAGTTGTGCAGAAAAATTATCCTTTCTGCAAATTACTGGAACATTTTGCCTTTTTTTCTAGGCTGAATTTTTGTGCTCTTATTTTATTTATTTATTTTCATGTAATAGTTGCCAGATTTGTTTTAGTGGTACTAACTAAAATTTGTTTTCCACAAGTCATCCATCGCCTACGGTTCTTATACCTGCTCTTAGAACAGTGGGAAACATTGTTACGGGTGATGACACCCAAACTCAGGTATTAATGATTTCTACATCCATGCAATTAATTCTTACCATCATTGCAGCTTGATGCAGTATCATCATTTTTTTTCTTTGTTCATTTACATTGTATTGGCTAATACCAATACAAAAAGCTGATATTCACTTGCAATTATCAATACAATAACTAATTTATTAGTATAGAAATTTCTTTTGGGCCTTTGGCATTCTTGTAGTGAAATTGGTGGAAGGCAAACTACTTCCTATCTAAGGATTCTGATTTCATCTGGATGAAAAAGAAAATATGGGTTTCGTATTTTGGTTTATTACTTTACTATGTGCATGACCCTTCATTTATTTCTACCTATAAACAGAGACCTTTCTTTGATTTCTGTAAAACTTAATGCTTGAACCTTTTCAATATGAGAGCTCCTGTGTATGCAATAGTTAATCATTCTTTCCAGAAATTTATATATATATATAAGTTCTCTATTTTGCTCCTTTTTACCAGAAAGGCAGAAGCTAGTGACCTGTATACAGTCAATACATTTCCATCTGAATCTCCAAGTCTGATTTACTTATCACTGTTATGAAACTTGGATTGTCTAATGAATCAGAAAAGAGAAAGATGAGGTTGATTGGTTTAACCTCATGGCCTGCTGGAGCTGAATCCTGATGTCAATGATGTATGGAAGGATCTTATATTGTATCAAAATAGAAAACCATCATTTACAGTCAATGAATTTCCAAGTCTTGTTTACTTATAAATGTTTTAAAACTTGGTTTATCTAATAAAACCAGAAAAGAGACCGAGATGAGGTTCGTTGGTTTAACCTCATGGTCATCAGCTGGAACTGAATCCTGATGTCAATGGTGTACAGAAATATATTATATTGGCCCTGTTTGGTAACGCTTAAAATTCAATTTATTTAACTTACTTGCTTTAAACAAGTTGACTATTAGTGTTTGGTTGCAATTGTAAATTAGAGCTTATCGGACTTTTTTAGCTTATTTAGCCAAAATAGGTGAGATTTTCATAAACTACAATTTGTTGCTTTTTTGAGCTTATTTGAAATCCTTAAACACATAGAGACAAAACATTTTGTGGGCATTCTAGATATTTGCACAACAAAAAAATTTATGTGACAGCTTATTTAACCAAACATGTTTAACGTTTTTCACAGATTATTAAAGGCCACCCAAAACAGATTTACAGCTTATTTTAATTATTCTGAGATAATAATCTAAAAAGCAATAATCATAAAAGCTAACTTATAAGTTGTACCAAATGGGCTATTGCGTCAAATAGAATATCATTTAAATATGAAAAAATTATGCTAAAAAAAACTTCTTAGTTTGATCAAATTCCCATAACATTTTCAGACAAGCTTTTTGGCATTCTCTTTTTTGTAATGAATAGAAGGGTAACTTCTGGCTGTGTTTCTTTTCTGAGGGAGAGAGGGGTACTAAAAGGAAGGAGTAAACTATGAAAGTGCTACAGAAAGACGGAACAGAATTATAGCAATCTAGGAGGAAAAAATAAAAACCAGACCAAATATTTTATGGTTATGGTCACAAACACCTTTAGCATAAAGAAATTGCAGAGTTTAAATGATTCTTGTTGTAGACCAATTCCCCAAATAAAGTAAAAAATAGACACAAGCTACATCTATAATCAACAACCATAAAACCCATCCGAGGAAAGAATTTGGAAGCTTTAAATTCTTGTAACCAGGCTTAGAGAGAATGCCATTGTGATACAAAACAGGGACATCAATACTATCAGTAATGAAAATTTTAGACGACAAATTCTATACGTTCCATTTTTCTCCATGGAAATGATTCCATCGGTCCTTGTGGTATTGAAAACACACTAACCAAACTAGGCCCCTCTGTTATATGGACTATTATAAATGCAATTGACATGTGGGTTAGGGTATGAGATATGTGTCCAACATGTCTAGTTGATTATGCAAGCAACAAGTTTGTCTTGTCATTGATTCTACTCTACAACAATGCATAAAACTCTCATATTTTGCATCAACGGCTCTGTCATCTATGTTACTTTGTAAACACCAACTTACCCTTGAATTAACTGTGGTGGACTTGCGGGAAACTGCTGCACCCTTAGGGATTAGTTAGGCTTCGATCTAGACACTCTAGTGCCACAAAAAAATAAAAAACAAAAAATACCAACTTACCCTAAATGGTAAAAGTATAATATTAAGAAAATATGATGTGTAGCCGTGGGCAGTGTCTTTAGACATCGAAACTAGAAGAATCTGACACTTAGGCTCATACCTTCACCAAACACCGTACCCAAGTCCGTGTAACATAGCTAGGCCTCCTATTTGATTACTTCCTCATAGACGGACAAAGAGAGAGAGATGGTCAGAATTACATCACTAAAAGAGAGGAGCTTCTAATATTCATAGACCTCAATAAGTTCAATTATTTTATTATTGAGAATGTATTAATATTTATATAGGTTTTAGTTTTTGTTTCCAAATGTTTTTCATACGTTTCCAAATTCTTTTTTCATTTCCATTCTTATGTTTTTTGATATGTTTCCAAGCTAACCAAAACAATACACTAAAATGAAATTTTGACCCTTGGTTGGAGATCATTTTATTGTTATTTTTTAAAAATTGTGTTGGAGATCATTCTAGCACATTTTTGGCTTTTAAATGCATATTTTGGAAATCTCTCGATCCCTAGTTTTTTCATTTAAATTATTACACTTAAACCAATCATAGTTTATCATAACAACTATAATAACCATCCTTAATATTTTATAATCATAATTGATGTTTTAATTAAATTATAAACCTCTAAATTTAGGTTGTGAATATTACAATTCTCCCCTTCTAATTAAAATTTCGTCCTGTAACATACCATGTTTAAACAAATGAGGGTATTGAGTCCGCATACTCTCCTTGCTCTCCAAGTTGCCTCCTCGGATGTGTATCTCCTGCATAAAACTTTCACCAATGATATGGTCTTGTTATGTAGTACTTGATGCTGATGATCTAAAATCTGTACTAGCTGGCTCCTCAACATATGACAAGTTCTCTTTCAATTCAATAGGCTGAGTAGTAAATATGTGATGGATTTGGAATGTACTTTCGTAACATTGAGACGTGGAATACATCATGTAACCAAGACAACTCATATGGCAATGCTAACCGGTAAGTTGTAGTCCCAATTCACTCAATAATGTCACAAGGGCCAATATACCGCGGACTCAACTTACCTTTTTTAACAAACATCACCCCATTCCATATTGACATCGTAAGAATACCCTGTCACCAATAGCAAACTCTAGATTTCTCCTTCGATTATCTGCATAACTTTTCTGGTGACTTTGTGTGATTTTCAAGCAATCTTGTATTATTTCCACTTTATCAATAGTTGTTTGAACCATTTCAGGTCCCAACCCCACATCACTCCAACATACTAGAGTTCTACACTTTTGGCCATACAAAGCCTCGTATGGAGCCATACCAATACTTGTTTGATAACTGTTATTATAGGCAAATTTTATCAGTGGCAAATACTTATCCCAGCTATCTTTGAAGTGCAACACACAAGACCACAACGTATCCTCCAAGGTCTGGGTAGTCCTTTCAAACTATCTGTCTGTCTGAGGATGAAAAGTTGAACTAAAGGTAAGTTTGGCAACATCAAATAGTGGCCAAAAAGCCACTAAAAAAGCCAAAAAATCAAAGAACTATACAAAAAAGCATCCCAAAAATATTATTTTTTTCACCTCATATTTTAGCAAAAAAGTCAAAAAGTTACTAAAATAGCTTATTTCCAAACCAACTCTATATTTCAAGGTAGTCCCCATAGCTTGCTGTAAACTGGGTCAAAATCTAGAAGTAAATCTAGGATCCTTGTTTGAAACAATAGATATTGGAGTCCCATGCGAGAGAATGGTCTCATCAACATACAATGTAGCATACTTGTCTATAGAATACTTAGCCTTAACAAGTAAGAAATAGGTTGATTTGGTCAATCTATCCACAATCACCCAAATAGAATCATAGCCTTGCTGGGAGCAAGCGAGGAAGTCCAACCACAAAATCCGTTGTGACATTCTCCCATTTCCACTCAAGAATAGGAAGAGGTTGCAACAAACTTGCGAGACATTGATGCTCCGTTTTTACTTGTGGACACACCAAACAATGAGCAACAAGTTCAACCATCTCTTTTTTCATTCCACTCCACCAATAATGCTCCCTAGATAGTAATACATCTTAGTACTACCTAGGTTTCCAAAATTTCTCTCTGTACGCTGTGTTTGGTTGGGAGATTTGAGAATGGATTTGAAAAAGGAAAGAGAAAAGGTAGGTGAAATGTGAATAAAATATACCTACATTTCACATAGTTTTACACATCTTTTTCCTTTCCTTTTCCAAATTCCTTCCCAAATTTTTCAACCAAACACAGCGTTAAAGTTTGGTCTTTCCACTTTGTTACGGCTTCCACCTTTTTAGGATCAATGCAAATTCCATCCCTAGTTATCACATGCCCCAAGAAAACAACCAGGGTTTTACCTTCCAGATCTGGCTATCCGGTCCTAGTATGAAGAGATTCTTTCTTTCCTCTATGGCGAGATTGATCCTTTCTGCTGGAGCTCGTTTAAAGGCTTTTTTGGGTTTTTTGCATGCTAGCGCATGTACTCTTCCTCTATGAGCTAGATTCTATCACACTATCCAACTAGAACTCACATTTACTTAATTTGGCAAACAACTGTTTTTTTTGCGAAGTTTGTAATGTTGTACTTAAATGATCCATGTGTTTCTCTCTATTACAGGAGTATATTAAGATATCATCAATAAACACAATAATAAAAAATAATAAAGGCATAACATGATCATTTTTGAGACATCCTTGTCTGTTGAAGGAGGCAATCAGTGGTGCAGTTAGATATTTTACCTTAAGTAACCGATTCGTGGAGTGGAAGTGCAATAGTATCTATGAGCATATATATAAATGCGCGCGCGCACACACACACACACATATAAAATATGTTATACATACTTTCAAGTACTTTGTATTTATTTTTATTTATTATTTATTTTTTTTATGAAATTAACTAATAATCAATATTGAAATACAATCTGTACAAGAGATTGTTAAGAGTAAATAAAAAAGTACTATATTTGTTAAGGTGTAAGCGGGTAACTAAATGATGAGATTATTTTTTCTTCTGCTAAGGTCACAAGCTCAATTCTTTCTGCGCATTCCTCACACGGTGAGTGCTAAGGCGTTAATTACTGCCTTGAGTCTTTACTCATGGAGGTTAGGGACTCGTCAAATAGGAATTCCATATGTCAGTCAGCGAATTTGGCTAAAATAGTACATGATGTGTTTTACATAACATTTCGCTATGCGGTGCTAAATAAATCTAGGAGGATTAGGATTGAGAATTTCTTTAGAGTTAGTAGGGATTGGTAGGTTGGATGGTGCAGTTATACAGTCTTTCAGAAATGATGATGAATGTAGAGGATGATGGACAAGTTTTTAATTCTTGTGGGGCAGTAGCCCTTGCATACATTGTACCGTATGTGGGAAGAAATTATGTTTAATTATTCTTTAAGAGTATCCTATAAAAGTCTCTGACTCTTTACTCTTGAATGATAAGGTACATTAGCCATGTGTTTATATACATATATAGATGTATCTGAAAAGATGTCATCACAAAGCTTTATGGAATACCTATTCTAACAAGAATTAATTAGGAAACTGAAATTTTGAAATGCTGAATGCTGTCATGAAATTTGTGTAAGTATTTAGCAAGTACAACTGCATTTTAGTGGAATGGTAGCGCTGAGGAAATTGAAACTCTCTCTCTCTCTCTCTCTCTCTCTCTCTCTCACACACACACACACACACACACATCAGCAAACTTGATATACTTTTCCTTGCACAGTGAGAAATAACTCGCTTTATTTGTTCCAGTTTGTGATTGAGAACCATGTCCTCCCTTGTCTCTACCAACTTCTCACACAAAATCACAAAAAAAGCATCAAGAAAGAAGCTTGCTGGACAATTTCAAATATCACCGCTGGGAATAGAAGTCAAATTCAGGTATATAGATTCCCTTGCATATCCATTCATTCAGAAGAATTTATGTTGCCAACTATGAATATATTACCAGTTTTGTATCAATCTCTCTCTTTCCTTGCCTGTGTTGTGTTAGTTAACAATGATTCTTTTGTGTTGTATCAACACCCTCAATTTATTGGTGAGCGATGGTGCCTTTTTTAATCCTTTCAATATAGCTCTTGCTTAATCTGAAATCATTTTTATACTAATGGTTCTGTAAGAAAGGATCTGGTTTTCTAGTCCATCTGGGTCAGTTGGTTAAACTTGTTTTTATTGTTAATCTTTTCCTAGTTATATCATGATTTGCCTTTGGAGATTTTGAGATAGAAATTTGGGTAAGAAGAGAGGAACACACGCTCATCATAGCTGTTTCTGTATGAAACCACTCTTGTTCTGTTTTGCCTGAAAAGAGTTTAATATGTTATATTTGTTGCTACTAAGTAATTACATAGTTCCCTTATAAAATGTCATGAGGTGAATCGGACACAAAAGCCAACAGCTGTAGCAATCTTTGTGCTGTCTTTTTCTATAATGGTGGAAGCAATCTGTTACAAAGTTGCCAAAAGGAGTAAATGGGTGACATTTTGGGAATTGGAAAAACTGTAGGAAAAGGCATAATGCGCCAATTGCATACACTTTTGCATATTAGCTAGTGGTGAAAAAAGTTATTGTTCTGTTTGCATGGATTAATCCTCATTAATCTGTTGCATTTTTTCTTTTAATTTTTGGCGTGGGAACAGGCTGTTATTGAAGCAAATATTATCCTTCCTCTGGTACACCTTCTTCAACATGCAGAATTTGACATCAAGAAGGAGGCTGCGTGGGCTATCTCAAATGCTACCTCTGGAGGATCTCATGATCAGATTCGGTTTGTTTCTCATCTCGATTTCTGCATATGTAGCCAGTATGGTTAAATTGGCTGTTTATCTGCATTTATGTTCAGACCTAGTTTTTAGCTTTTCTTCACTCAACTTTTCCTCTACCCTTTTTCCATTTCCCATTTCTGATTCATTTCAAACTACAATCTAAGTAACAATCTTTCAAGTCTGCAGTGCCCAAAAATTTTATTTACTTGGTGCCTGCTACAGTACTAATCTTCCCATCCTGTTCTATCCAGAGCCATAATTCTGGTAAATCACAAAGAATAGCATCATAGTAGTAGGTCACTTGTCATTAAGGCCTTGTTTGGAAACTGGCTTTTTTAGTAATTTTTTGAATTTTTGGCTAAAATATGATGTAAAAAAAAACTAGTATGTTTGAGATAACTTTTTAATTTTTTACGAAAAGATGTTCAAAAAGTAGATAAAAAAGGGAATCTTTGACTTTTTGGTATAGGTTGTTGGCTTTTTGATTTTTTTTTTTTTTTTTTTTTTTTTTTTTTTTTTTGTGACTTTTTGGCTAAAAAGTGATGTTGCCAAACGAAGCCTAAATGTCAAAGCAATAGCTTGAATTACTTTATATGTTGGATTTTTTATGATAATTGATTATTGAACTTACAAGTAATTTCCTCATTGAATAAACAAGATTCTTTTGGTCCTTTCACTTAATCATATCCACATGATAAGGGTCCACCTAAATTTGGCAAAATAATGCATTGGGCCGAGGCCTGTACTCATACACTATCGGTGTCAATTGCAGATTCTTGGCGAATCAAGGTTGCATTAAGCCACTTTGCGATCTTCTAATCTGTCCAGACCCAAGGATTGTGACTGTGTGCCTTGAGGGGCTTGAGAACATTTTGAAGGTGGGTGAGGCTGACAAAGAAGGGGGAATGAACAATGGAATTAATTTATATGCACAAACAATTGATGAAAGTGATGGATTGGATAAGATTGAAAATCTCCAAACCCATGACAACAACGAGATCTATGAGAAGGCTGTGAAGATCTTAGAGAGATACTGGGCCGAGGAGGATGAGGAAGAACAAATTCTTCAAGACGGAATCAATGGAAATCAACAGGGTTTCAATTTTGGAAATGCCCAGCCCAATCTTCCTCCTGGTGGATTCAACTTTGGTTAGAAGGGGAAATTTTGAGTATGTTTTCGGACTTTGTGAGTAATGCTAGGGACCAAGAACTCAGACACAGAAAAATATCCTAAAAAACAATGTGGTCTACATTCAACTGTTGTATTATGGATTCAATATTTAGAATGAATCTGTACCACACTGTTTTTCTGGGTATTTTTTTGTGTCTGATTTCTTGGTTCTACGGGTTTTGTAGGCCTCCTTTTGTTTGAAGGAGTTTTTAAACTTTGTTTTTGTTTTTCTTGTTTCCAACGGTCAGCCAGGATTTTTGGTCTGGCAGATAGGTTGAAATTGTTTCATGGAACTTTTTGTGAAGTGTAAGGCTTTTTTAACTTGTGGTTTTCATAGTCATTTGTATTTTCTATATATTGATGTGACGGAAAATATAACCATGATTTGTTTTTATGTGAAATGAGTTAATTTTCACATGTGATATTTGTTAATCATTTGGTGCATTGATTCTATGTTGATGTAGTGATTAATTAAGAAATTATAAACAAATTTGCAAGTTGACCTAGTTTTGTTTAAAGAAAATAATATAATGGTTTGCATGTATCATTTTGTCTCTAATTTTTTTATTTGAGAAGTTAGTTAAAAGTTAATTTTTAATTTATTTTGAGTTACATCGCTTCTTATAATTTTTATACAAAAAGACAAAAATTAAAAAATCAGTCTTCAATAAATTACCCCACAAGTGGTTTCCATTTTGAGATAATTATCAGTAGGTCCTAGATTGTACTTAATTACTCACATGTCCTGTGCTTTTTTTTTTTTTTTTTTTAAGTTTCATAAGTAGTTGTATAGACCAAAAATCCTAAAAACTAATAAATAGTGATGTTTTTCTAAATCTGTCGCTAAAAAATGTTTACTAGTGAGGTTTTCGCAATAAAATTTTTAAATTGTCGTTAAAATTAACAATTAATGACACTTTTAATACAAAACGTTGCTAAAAAAATAAAAAATAGGAGTTTGTTTTAGTAATTAAAAGTTAATAGAACTTTTTAGTGTATGAAAAAGTCAAGAGAGCTTATTGGTGAATCCTTGTTCCTACTCCCGTTTGGAAAGATGGTTTTGGCTATTTTAGCCACAAAAGATAAAATAAGCTATTTTAGCCACAACAAATAAAATATCACATCCAACCCATAATTATTAAAATATTATCCTTCCTCTGGTACACCTTCTTCAACATGCAGAATTTGACATCAAGAAGGAGGCTGCGTGGGCTATCTCAAATGCTACCTCTGGAGGATCTTATTATCAGATTTGGTTTGTTTCTCATCTCGATTTCTGCATATATAACCAGTATGGTTAAATTGGCTGCTTATCTGCATTTATGTTCAGACCTAGTTTTTAGCTTTTCTTCACTCAAACTTTTCCTCTACCCTTTTTCCATTTCCCATTTCTGATTCATTTCAAACTACAATCTAAGTAACAATCTTTCAAGTCTGCAGTGCCCAAAAATTTTATTTACTTGGTGCCTGCTACAGTAGTAATCTTCCCATCCTGTTCTATCCAGAGCCATAATTCTGGTAAATCACAAAGAAAATGTCAAAGCAATAGCTTGAATTACTTTATATGTTGGATTTTTTATGATAATTGATTATTGAACTTACAAGTAATTTCCTCATTGAATAAACAAGATTCTTTTGGTCCTTTCACTTAATCATATCCACATGATAAGGGTCCACCTAAATTTGGCAAAATAATGCATTGGGCCGAGGCCTGTACTCATACACTATCGGTGTCAATTGCAGATTCTTGGCGAATCAAGGTTGCATTAAGCCACTTTGCGATCTTCTAATCTGTCCAGACCCAAGGATTGTGACTGTGTGCCTCGAGGGGCTTGAGAACATTTTGAAGGTGGGTGAGGCTGACAAAGAAGGGGGAATGAACAATGGAATTAATTTATATGCACAAACAATTGATGAAAGTGATGGATTGGATAAGATTGAAAATCTCCAAACCCATGACAACAACGAGATCTATGAGAAGGCTGTGAAGATCTTAGAGAGATACTGGGCCGAGGAGGATGAGGAAGAACAAATTCTTCAAGACGGAATCAATGGAAATCAACAGGGTTTCAATTTTGGAAATGCCCAGCCCAATCTTCCTCCTGGTGGATTCAACTTTGGTTAGAAGGGGAAATTTTGAGTATGTTTTCGGACTTTGTGAGTAATGCTAGGGACCAAGAACTCAGACACAGAAAAATATCCTAAAAAACAATGTGGTCTACATTCAACTGTTGTATTGTGGATTCAATATTTATAATGAATCTGTACCACTGCTTTTCTGGGTATTTTTTTGCGTCTGATTTCTTGGTTCTACGGGTTTTGTAGGCCTCCTTTTGTTTGAAGGAGTTTTTAAACTTTGTTTTTGTTTTTCTTGTTTCCAACGGTCAGCCAGGATTTTTGGTCTGGCAGATAGGTTGAATTTGTTTCATGGAACTTTTTGTGAAGTGTAAGGCTTTTTTAACTTGTGGTTTTCATAGTCATTTGTATTTTCTATATATTGATGTGACGGAAAATATAACCATGATTTGTTTTTATGTGAATGAGTTAATTTTCACATGTGATATTTGTTAATCATTTGGTGCATTGATTCTATGATGATGTAGTGATTAATTAAGAAATTATAAACAAATTTGCAAGTTGACCTAGTTTTGTTTAAAGAAAATAATATAATGGTTTGCACGTACCATTTTGTCTCTGATTTTTTTATTTGAGAAGTTAGCTAAAAGTTAACTTTTAACTTTTAATTTATTTTGGGTTACATCACTTCTTACAATTTTTATGCACAAAAAAATTAAAAAATCAGTCTTCAATAAATTACCCACAAGTGGTTTCCATTTTGAGATAATTATCAGTAGGTCCTAGATTGTACTTAATTCCTCTCAAGTCCTGTGCTTTTTTTTTTTTTGTTATACATGTGTTCCTTGTTCTGATATTGAGAATTTTTTGAGACATTTTGTGTTGTGTTTGAGGAACGATCGTTTGGTATTAGTAGCGATATTGAGAAATTTATCAAAATGATAAATGGTTATTGATTTTAGTTTGTGAGTTTTGATTTATTTGTATTGTAATATGATGTTGAAATTTATCAAAATGATAAATGATTATTTTGATTTTAGTTTGAGTTTTGATTTATTTGTATTGAAATATAATGTCGACAGTATAAATAGTTGAATTGTATTTTTTTAAAAATATTTTTATAATGATAAATTGTCGCTAAAAATTGGATTAGAATTTTTTGATAAATAAGGACAGTCGAGAGAACCGGCTCATAGTTATCCCTTCTAGTTTTGCTTTGTTTACTCTTGTACAATTGGCTTTTTAATAATTAATAATTTTGGTAAATAATTAATAATTTTGGTAGAGTACAATTGGCTTTTTAATAATTAATAATTTTGGTAGATTAAAAATGTCAATTAGATGAGTTATTAAAGAATTAATTATTGGAAACAGATATATCGGTAAAATAGTAGTGTCTGATCCTCATATGAAGTTATTATGTAATATTTTTCCTTCGTTTTTATAAATAGTATTTAATATTTATAATTTGAGTTATTATGTAATATTTTATAAGGTTGAGTGTCTTATTATTTTATGGAAAATATTTGGTGGCCACAAATTCTGTGGTTCAAATAGTCTGAAAATGCCAAAACGACTCCAAAAATGTCAAAACGACGTCGTTTTGACATTTTCAGGCCATTTAAGCCATAAAATTTGTGACCACCAATCATTGCCCTTATTTTATTTAAGTTATTATCCGAGTTGGGCAGCCTTTCATACGCTGATTTCTTGTTAGAAAATTAACGCCACTGGTAATTCATCTACTGCTATTTTAAAAGTATTAAGAGCATATATATATGTATATATATTTTAAAATTTTTAATTCTAACTTCTCAAATTTATTATTTTTTTTAAAAAAATCTTATATAAACTAACAATCTCTTTATTTTTGAAATTGAACACTAAAAAACGATATATCTACTTCAAGAGTCTTATATAAATATAAACAAATCATCTCACTTTTTATTGAAAAAATAAAAAATAAAAAATAAACCGTCTGCCTATTTTTTACATTGATGATGATAAAAAAATCAAATCGCTGTGAAATTTTTTGATTGAATCTTAAAGTTGTATATATCCGTTTGAATCTAAATAAAGGAAAACACATGCGCTTTTAAAACAGAGATTTGTGTTACATCTCAAAAATTTGTAAGTTATCTTTACACACTTTCTTTTTTGTTTAGATTAAATTTTTTGAATTGTAATATTTTACATGTTACTTTAATAACCAATGTATGATATCAAAATACTAAACAAGAGCCACTTTCGTTAGTTTCATTTTTTAAATCTGTTTTCTAGTTTTTGATTTTTCATATTTTTTTGGGTTCATTTTTTATATTTTCTCAATTGTAGTGATTAAAAATACTAAAATTTCTTCATATTTCATATTTAAATTATACTTTTACATGAATATGTAATATCTAATAATCTAAATAGAATTAAAAATTAAGCTATTGGTAAAAAAATTTATAAATTCGAAAATGTACTAATTTTTTTAAGGTGAATTTTTTTTAAGGTCCCTAATAATAGTAATTTAGAAGATAAAGGACACCAAAAAAAAGAGTGATGCATCAGGTCCCTGAACAACATGGCGTGCATTTTTAATTATTTCGTGGACCAAAATACCCTTCACAAAATCAACACAGAGACGAAACGGATTTCGACGACTGAGTTCCATTCCCAACATCCAACCATCTTCACGAACAAGAGAACAGCAGAACTAGGGTTTCAATATCATTTTCACCATCAACATTAGAGCTTCGTTATCTTCTGCAAAAATCATTCTCATTCTTTCCTCACAGATTTCTCTGACCCCGTTTTCACTGTTCATCGTCATCTCAGTTCATCATCGTCACGTCGCATCTTCATCTCAGGACATATCAGCTCGTCATTAAAGTTTCATCCTAGCTCTGGTGAGTTTTTCTACAGTACAACTAGATTTTCTCTGGAAACACAGTTAATTGCATTTTATATTAACCTTCCATAAATTAGGGTTTCAATTTCGTAATAAAAAACTTCATGAATTTGAAAAAAGTTATTTATGTATGTTTTCAACTTATTCTTGAACATGTTTGTGTGATTTTACCTGTAAATTTCTCTGGCATTTGAATTTCTCTAGTTTTTGCTTGATGTATGTTTCTTCTTTCAATTTTTTCTGACATGTTTATTTTGAAAAAAGCTATTTCTCTGTGTCTTCATCTTATTCTTGAACATGTTTCTGTGATTTTATCTATAAATTTCTCTACTCTGTAAATTTCTCTGTAATATGTATTTTTAATTGGAATGTCTATCTTTCTTTTGAATGTCTATTACTCTCTTGTCTCTGTCTAAGTTT